ATATTTCGTTAATGAATTCAGAACTATACCTTGAAATTTATTGTTTTCATGACGTCTGTGTCTCAGGCAAAATACCTTCCGCGTGTAAATCATCCAGTCAACGGACACAAAACATAAACTGTCCAATCGAATTGCCTGTTACATCTTGTCATGAATATGTAAATGTGTAAGGTGGTGTACAGTAGTTATTAATCATACAATGCTCTACTTCACTTGTCAGACGGGTTCGTCTTTACCGTTTTTGCCCTCAGGTATAATACATAAAGTCGTACCTTAAATATATACCAGTGTCAAAGGATGTACGGAAGCTGGAAAGCAGCATACACAACACTACATAGTAATGGCGGACATAATAGTGGACGTAATCACCTCTGCAACAAATCTTAATCAAATAGAGACACATACAAATCAGGCTTTGCTTTGTACATGTGATATATTTTTTAGAACGAGAGTAGCCCAATTACTAGGTAAGAAGCTCATTGGCTGATGAATGTCGAATGGCTACTGTCTTGTTTATTTTACATGTTTCAAATGCCACTGAGTGATGCTGTGTTGTCAGTCACGCTTCCTTTACAGTTCTTTTAAAACACTCAAAGACTCACCAACACATATCAGCACTGCATACTGTAGAAATGTATTCACTTGTTTTCGCCGATCAACATAACATTCAGGCATGAAAATTTATGAATCTTAAGTTTTTTTTATATTCAAAATACCTGCCCTGCAGGTAGATCGTAAGACATGTACCTGTTGTTCTCAAGACCAGAAATTATTCATTTTCTATAGTACTTCGTTCTCCGTGTCATACTACAGCGTCTAGGTCAAGACACTATAAAAGACGTCCATCAGTGACTCCCTCAAGGACAACATTTCTTTATTGGTGGTGCGAGGAGGTGGAACATTTCACAATTGCAATTATTAGATTCCGTACTAGTTCCTAAATTACAATTTACTGTAGGTGTCAAAAACGACTAACAATGCTATGTTGTTCATCAGATTTCCCGAACGTTCAAACTTATCATAGATATCAACATGAATAAGACCCAGCTGTGTGTATACACAACAGTTTACTGGTGTCTAATATCTGTACACGGAGGCCGATGTAGGATCCAAAGTCAACTGATGTTTATTTCACTCAATGTCTGATCAAACATTTCCGTAAACTTTTAAAATACTCTATGTTGCTCTTGTAACTACTTAACCATGGGCTTTACGTGGAAAGCATTACATTAGCGTCTGAATGTTTAAGTACAGATTATACCGGCATATTATTTCTATCTCCCATTGGTACAATGTACAATATATTGATAGTTTAATATCATATTTTGCATAATATTAGAAAAGGGTTTCCAGCTTTTGTTTTCAAAATACATTTTTTTTAATCTTTGAGTAATAAGAGGATCACGAAGCCTTATGTGCTCTCTAAAAGGTTAAAATGCATGTATCTCTCTCTCTCTCTCTCTCTCTCTCTCTCTCTCTCTCTCTCTCTCTCTCTCTCTCTCTCTCTCTCTCTATATGTTCTGTGAGCCATGTAATGTAATGTTCATCACAGTTCCATATATAAAATACAATGCAGTACTATAACAATACCTAATAATTACATCAGTTTGATATACAAAATAGCATATATATTAATCTGTTACTGCTTCGAAATCCTTTTACGTAGCAATATTCTGCAACAGTGTCTTTCCCGTCAAAGATTCCTTAAATCTTTGACTTCGCCATCAAAAAATGGCACTTCCTATAGAAATCGTTGATGCTTGAAGATATCACTTAAGAGAGCTTGGCAATGAACATCGAAAATTACTCATGAAGTTCTACATCAATGACAGCAAAATTGTTATATCTAAACTGGAAGTCGGTAATCAACAATATGTTTCCAAGAACAATATATAAAATGTAAATATGAAATTAAGACGATTATGTATAATGGTATACTTGAAATCCCGAAACATAATGTTTACATAACGACATGAAAAGGTAAATGTATTTCCTTGGTTTTCATTCATGAAATATTACAAAATCTATTTCATTGGCCAGAGTTACGTTTACTTCCACTATTCATCAACGTCATGTTACAGAAGATGTACACATGGTGTCAGTATATGTCTCGAGAGAGCAAGCGTCTAGTCAAAGAATATCTTCCGTTCCAAGAATAAACCAATTAGAGAAGGACTTGTAATTAATGCGTTGCTCTGCCTTCACTGTTCTGTAATTATAGCTGTTTCCTACACTGTCTGTGCTACAGGTGTAGGAGTAAAAGAGTATATTGTAAATACCTTCAGTGTTCAGTAATTCTAGCTGTTGCATACACTCTCAATACCGTTTGAAATATCACATAGCTCCACTATATATATATTTGTAACTGTATTCCAGCAATGAAACAGTATTGGAAAGTGTTTGTATAATAACATGTCCAAACATATAACTAGAGGTTAAAACAGCTTCCTGTCTAACGATGGAAAACTTGTCATCATGAATATCTTATTTCACGCGAAAGATGGTTGACTTTGTTTTAATAAGCAGGTTGGAAGACATCCGACAACACCAGATGTGACAAACGACCATGGTGTTACTTTATTCTAGTCTATTTATCTCGATTTATAGTATCAAAATTCCAAATGCCCGGTCTGGGAAGTTTTACGGTCGTCATGTTGGTCTCATTGAGAAATATTAGATTTGTTCATGCGATATGAAGCTGGGCGTATTTGATGCTCGTAAGTTTGCTTGTTGGTTCCATTGTTGTATACCTTGTTCAAATTTGAGAACGTGACATTACTTACTTGGATTGACCAAGGTTAAACATGGCGGGTGACGTCGATGAAGCAGGAGACGCTTCTTCTAGAACACCTGGTCTTATTCTTCTCGTGCGTTTTCAGAGGTATCCATGTAGTCTTTAGTTCATAATAGACCTTAGTTTTATTGGTCTGAGTTTGGATTATGATTAGGTTGACATGTTGGGTTTTTTAATGTTTTTTTCCTGATTATATTAAACAAGATTGACTAGATACATACTGGCGAGAGGACGCGCTGACCAAACTAATAAAAAACGAATTGTAATGTAATTGTAATGGTGTGTCTAAACTGACGAAATGAACTATTTCTGGATTCAAGTGGTAAAGTATTGTCCAGACAAGTAAATACAGCTGTCACAGGACTAAACGTTTCTGGGCTCCTTAAAGACTTCGTCTAACGAACAAGGTGAAAAGGTGAGGTTGTGCAATGCGATGCCACGAGTTTATAAACACTCAGATACTAAACTCACATTAAAGCAAGAAAAATAGGTTTAATCACAATAAACAGCACTAATAACAAAACATTTAACGTGTAATTTATCTACTTTATATATTACAAGCTCCTTTTAACAAAATCGACCCCATTGCAACTTATAGATGCAAATGTCATCATTATTTCAATCATTTGAGAATTCTAAAACTCGGGCAGAAAAAATTTGATCACTTTGTAAACTAGACTAGACGTCTATCAGAATACTGAACAAGACATCTCCCTATCAACAGTGAACCAGACTAGACATCTATTAGAATAGTGAACAAAACATCTCCCTATCAACAGTGAACCAGACCAGACGTCTATGAGAATGATGAACAAGACATGATATCTCCCTATCAACTTTGAACCAGACTAGACGTCCATCAGAATGGTGAACAAGACATGATATCTCCCTATCAACAGTGAACCAGACTAGACGTCCATCAGAATGGTGAACAAGACATGATATCTCCCTATCAACAGTGAACCAGACTAGACGTCCATCAGAATGGTGAACAAGACATGATATCTCCCTATCAACAGTGAACCAGACTAGACGTCCATCAGAATGGTGAACAAGACATGATATCTCCCTATCAACAGTGAACCAGACTAGACGTCCATCAGAATGGTGAACAAGACATGATATCTCCCTATCAACAGTGAACCAGACTAGACGTCCATCAGAATGGTGAACAAGACATGATATCTCCCTATCAACAGTGAACCAGACTAGACGTCCATCAGAATGGTGAACAAGACATGATATCTCCCTATCAACAGTGAACCAGACTAGACGTCCATCAGAATGGTGAACAAGACATGATATCTCCATCCCTATCAACAGTGAACCAGACTAGACGTCCATCAGAATGGTGAACAAGACATGATATCTCCCTATCAACAGTGAACCAGACTAGACGTCCATCAGAATGGTGAACAAGACATGATATCTCCCTATCAACAGTGAACCAGACTAGACGTCCATCAGAATGGTGAACAAGACATGATATCTCCCTATCAACAGTGAACCAGACTAGACGTCCATCAGAATGGTGAACAAGACATGATATCACCTATCAACAGTGAACCAGACTAGACGTCCATCAGAATGGTGAACAAGACATGATATCTCCCTATCAACAGTGAACCAGACTAGACGTCCATCAGAATGGTGAACAAGACATGATATCTCCCTATCAACAGTGAACCAGACCAGACGTCCATCAGAATGGTGAACAAGACATGATATCTCCCTATCAACAGTGAACCAGACTAGACGTCCATCAGAATGGTGAACAAGACATGATATCTCCCTATCAACAGTGAACCAGACTAGACGTCCATCAGAATGGTGAACAAGACATGATATCTCCCTATCAACAGTGAACCAGACTAGACGTCCATCAGAATGGTGAACAAGACATGATATCTCCCTATCAACAGTGAACCAGACTAGACGTCCATCAGAATGGTGAACAAGACATGATATCTCCCTATCAACAGTGAACCAGACTAGACATCTATTAGAATAGTGAACAAGACATGATATCTCCCTATCAACAGTGAACCAGACCAGACGTCCATCAGAATGGTGAACAAGACATGATATCTCCTGTCAACAGTGAACCAGACTAGACGTCCATCAGAATGGTGAACAAGACATGATATCTCCCATCAACAGATATCTGATATCTCCCTATCAACAGTGAACCAGACAAGACGTCCATCCATGATATCTCCCTATCAACAGTGATATCTATCAACTATCAACAGTGAACCAGACTAGACGTCCATCAGAATGGTGAACAAGACATGATATATCAACAGTGAACCAGACCTATCAACAGTGAACCTATCAACAGTGAACCAGACTAGACGTCCATCAGAATGGTGAACAAGACATGATATCTCCCTATCAACAGTGAACCAGACTAGACGTCCATCAGAATGGTGAACAAGACATGATATCTCCCTATCAACAGTGAACCAGACTAGACGTCCATCAGAATGGTGAACAAGACATGATATCTCCCTATCAACAGTGAACCAGACTAGACGTCCATCAGAATGGTGAACAAGACATGATATCTCCTATCAACAGTGAACCAGACTAGACGTCCATCAGAATGGTGAACAAGACATGATATCTCCTATCAACAGTGAACCAGACTAGACGTCCATCAGAATGGTGAACAAGACATGATATCTCCCTATCAACAGTGAACCAGACTAGACGTCCATCAGAATGGTGAACAAGACATGATATCTCCCTATCAACAGTGAACCAGACTAGACGTCCATCAGAATGGTGAACAAGACATGATATCTCCCTATCAACAGTGAACCAGACTAGACGTCCATCAGAATGGTGAACAAGACATGATATCTCCCTATCAACAGTGAACCAGACTAGACGTCCATCAGAATGGTGAACAAGACATGATATCTCCCTATCAACAGTGAACCAGACTAGACGTCCATCAGAATGGTGAACAAGACATGATATCTCCCTATCAACAGTGAACCAGACAAGACGTCCATCAGAATGGTGAACAAGACATGATATCTCCCTATCAACAGTGAACCAGACTAGACGTCCATCAGAATGGTGAACAAGATATCTCCCTATCAACAGTGAACCAGACTAGACGTCCATCAGAATGGTGAACAAGACATGATATCTCCCTATCAACAGTGAACCAGACTAGACGTCCATCAGAATGGTGAACAAGACATGATATCTCCCTATCAACAGTGAACCAGACTAGACGTCCATCAGAATGGTGAACAAGATATCTCCCTATCAACAGTGAACTAGACTAGACGTCCAACAGAATGATGAACAAGACTAGATACCTCCTGAACAAAGTAAAAATATTGTCTGGCACACAAATTATGGAAGTAATTATATTTTGATGAACAGTGATATTATAACAAGCAATCAACCAAAAAGGCAAATAAACTGACAGTGATATTTTAACATGCTTCCATCGGAAACAGTCATTAGCATATAGTATCAACACAAGCTGGTGTATATCTCAGCTCACACAAAAATCTTTCTTACAATCAAATTGTATAATCATATATAACAAAATTTCAATATAACACAAAATAACAGGAAGTATTTACAAGCCATTCTGGTCTTAATCTACAGTGAAACATTATTGAAACAGCAATTAAAATTACAATGTAATGCGAAAGAAAGCTTTCATATGAACAATTTTTATAGGTTCAGTCAGGCTGCGAGATATTTTACACACGATGCTGGTTACCATATATGTTTTGTCCTTAGACATAAGCGGTCATGAATGTAATATTTTGGGGGAAAGCAATTTTTTTTCAGTTTTTTCGAGGAAACCCGACAGACATGTTTCATTGTGTACCGGGTGAGAACATCAATTAAACATATTCGCTGGAAGTAAACACATTCTAGTGTAAGATTATCTAACATCAGTCTAGTGCAGACCGTTTCAGGTTTACAGCACAGGACGTCATAACAGATAACCCTGACTAGATCTCTACAAACTTCTCGCCCGAATCAGCTGCTCCAATGAGTTAATATTACCAATATATCTGGATTAAAGTTCCATTTGATTTTTTCCATTTTATATGTCTATGCCTTCACAAATCATAAAATGTACTCTTCAGTTTAGCAATGTCATTGATGTTTCGTTATAACACTTTACAGTTTGTCCTTGACCCCTGGACCCCAGACGCTAAGCTGCAGACAGTGACCGGGCGAGACTAAAGAATCCTGAAGTTTTACTTCAGGGTAACCCCTAGTCAGCTGGACCCCATTCCGGCCGTGCAGCCGAAGCAGTGATTGTCTGTCTTGATGATTTCTCCTTTCACGTCATCAGTTGTATTGAGGTCAAACACGCTTAGCTCTGGAAAGGGAAGAATAGAAATGTACTTTATTGAAAGTGACTCGCACGCCGTGACATTAACTTAGAAATAAATGGAGGCATGCTACCAGATCCTTGTCAGCCGCTGGGGAATCATGAATAATATCAATTCCCCCTTGTCAAAGGACAATATCTTATTCGTGGACGTTTTACACTCCGACTGATATAAGTCACTACTTGGACTTTGTGAGACGGAAGAGAAGTACTTGACATCATTTGAATATACCCTGACCTCTGTGGACATCTACAGTCAAACTATATATCGGAAACATAGATAACATCAGTAATTTGGTAGTTATGCATTGCAAGCATATAGTGTAAGTCTGAGTGGGAAATTTTCTTTTTGGGCTGTAAATTCAATCAAACTAATTAGATGAAGGGAAGTAACTCTTAATACAATTTTAGCAGCCACGGCAGAATAAGGGAGGCAATTCTTAGAAATAAAATGACTGTGGAAAGGCGACCATTTCACATTAATCTTAACTAACTTTAAGGTAAAGTCTATTGAGGAGTATGAAATGAATTTGGGGTTTTATTTCAGATAAAACCAGAGAATTTAATCCACACTTATTTTGCATTTGAAGGAATATCAGAAAGGCTATAAAGAAACGTTAAACTCGCATTAAATTCTAGTGAAAATGCGACGTCAAAACGTCATGACGTCAAATCATAATGGTGTTGATGTGATAAGGTTATATACGCTACATAAAAAAAAATTAATGAAACAAAAACTTTTATAGGTGTGACGTGAACTTATACAGGAACATACCTGTGATCTTGTCCTCGCCGGTAATCCCGATGGCCAGCTGTTGGTTGAAGTCACAATCATACACGCGGCCGTCCCAGTTAACACTGAGAAGATTTCTACACATCAGTTTGTCAATGGTCTGTAGGTTATAATTCCTCACTAGGAGCTCCAAATATCCCTGTAACTCATTCCTGCGTACAAATATACACTTCAAATTACTTTATGACATTTCCATGCAATTATTAACGCCGTGATTTTAAGACATAATGTATATTTAAAATGCCCAAGATAAATTGTGTTCATGTATGAAGTAAATATGAAACAAACATATTCTAACTAACATTTGATGAACTCGGGCAAGTATTGACAAATGATGTAACGACAGCAAAACCCGCATAAAGGTACACTATAATGATGAAAAATATGGTGAAACGAGGGCAAAATGTTAAAAAATGAAAGGATGAAACGAGGGCAAGATGTGTGTGAATGGAAAGACGAAACGAAGGCGAATTATCAAAACTGAACGGATGAAACGAGGGCAAAATGTGAAAATGAAAGGATGAAACGACGGTAAAATGTGATTAAAGAAAGTGGTGTAACAACAGCAAAACGTGAACAAAGGACAGGGTGAAACGACGGCAACAACTATGATGTACTGAGCCTAAACGTGAACAAAGGACAGGGGGAAACGACGGCAACAACTATGATGTACTGAGCCTAAACGTGAACAAAGGACAGGGTGAAACGACGGCAACAACTATGATGTCCTGAGCCTAAACGTGAACAAAGGACAGGGTGAAACGACGGCAACAACTATGATGTACTGAGCATAAACAAGAACAGCAGACAGGGTGAAACGAAGGCAACAACTATGATGTACTGAGCATAAACATGAACAGGAGACAGGGTGAAACGAAGGCAACAACTATGATGTACTGAGCCTAAACGTGAACAATGGACAGGGTGAAACGACGGCAATAACTATGATGTACTGAGACTAAACGTGAACAAAGGACAGGGTGAAACGAAGGTAGCAACTATAATGTACTGAGCCTAAACGTGAACAAAGGACAAGATGAAACGACGGCAATAACTATGATATACTGAGCCTAAACGTGAATAAAGGACGGCAACAACTATGATGTGCTGAGCCTAAACGTGAACAAAGGACAGGATAAAACGAAGGCAACAACGCAACAACTATAATGTGCTGAGCCTAAACGTGAACAAAGGATAAGATGAAATGGTGGCACTAACTATGATGTAAACGTGAACAAAGAGCTGTTACCCTTAACTGCACTTACGAGTTCTAGGACAAAACAGTTGTAAAATGTAGTTTGATCCATCGCTTTGCTCTATTGTATCTAACATTAATTTGTATGAAAAGTTCACTTGTGTGTCTTTGCAATTTTCGAGGCGGGGTCTCCTTACAGTAGCTGGTTGTTACCTCACTGAACATCGTACGTGAGGGTCGTCGCATGCCACACAGAACAGTTGTTGCAAAGTGTGACTAGGACACAAGGACACAACCACGACAGACAGACAGATCCCGTTGTGTGTGTACAAATATGTACAAAACCTTTTTTTATAACTTTTGCTCACATCTTATTTAACTGTCTTGGTATCTATCCACTTTCTGGAAATAGCGGACCGTGTATTAGGTCTTTCATCCTAACGTACTATCGACTAGTATAAGACAGGTGTAATGACTTGTCTAGTCCAGTTTTAAGTAACTCCTATCACGTGATAACTTTTTGTACCAGCTCAAGCTGACGTTCACCGATTGATCAGTATAAATTTCAAACTCTCATGACACTTTCCTTGAGTTTATCAGTATAAGTGTCTCAAGTTTATTAAACAACTGACAAAACAGCAATGTGTGTAATTTTTTTTTCTATGAACAGTTGAAACTGGACATATCATCGAAATATACTTCTCTTAACTCTAAATTTTCAAGTGAGATTTTAAATATAAAAAGCTCTGGTCAGATATACAGAAATTGTGTTGATAAATATATCTTATTGTGTGTTATTTTGGTTGCAGTGAGGGAGATATATATATCCCTTCAGATGCCACGTATGGAAAATTAATGAGTACGAGTGTGCTGAACTGAGACATTAATAAGGTGTCTATCTAAAAAATTAAAAATTTAAAAAAAAATAGAAAACACTGACTACATACATTTATCAGCACACCAGAAGTAACTATTATAAACATTTACATTAACACTCATTGTGAACCAGTGGAGCAGTACATCTGTTAAAGTGCAACGAATAGAACTGCTACAAGGTATTAACCCGCAAAACGACACGACGTGCTTTAAAACTCGACAACAAATAAATAAACTAATTATAGACCAGATTCCTACATTTTATTGCTACACCAATGAATTTTTATGAAAAAATACAACAAGTAACGGCGTCTTCTTAGCACATCATGAGTTGAACGGTTAGAATGCCGAAGTCTCGATACACTGAGGGTGGGCAAACAGGTGATATGACACTTACGATTCGGTAAAACCACGGACCTAGATGTCCTTGGTGATACGTCATCTCATGACGTCATATGTATATCAGTAACACCTTTTACATGGACGACGCGAAACCCTGAACAAGGAAAATTACAGACAAAAAAATTTCAGTAGAATAATGTCACCGAGAAAACGCCCTGTTGAAAATATTTCTAAGACAATATGTACCAGAAGGTTTGACTATAGAATTTACACTGGACATGGTACGTTTCTTCAATGCTGCTTTTGTAACCATCTTAACGACAAGCCAGTGCAGTTTTACATTTAAGTCATGAAATATAAAGATGAACTGAGCAGCAATTCAAAAATGGGTATTTGATATTTAAAACCAAATGGATACAGTAGTGAAATTGTAGATCAAAATTCTTCACAAGAAATCACATTTATTAGGTTTTAGTACACACATCTAATTAACGACCATGTTTGATCTAATCGATGTGTACTTTTATAACTATCTCCTGTTATTAATCAATTATCTGTCCATATCTAATTCGTCTTCTAAGTTTGACGATCGTTTGCGGACATTTCAGCATTCCAGTTTTGCATTTCATATTAACCGACAATTTTGGAGTAAATAACGAACTGATCAGAGAATGAATTTATGTTTAGAAATTGGCTTAAATGATGAAAAATGATATCAACAATCATGCAGATGAAATTGATACCCTGTCGTGGATTAAATCAATCATTCATGTTGCTTGTTTTGCCATTCTTTAATTGACATTTTGTATTAGAGTAAAATTTCCTTCTCGATTTATATTTTGGCTCATATATTTGTACCTTTTTAACACGTGTTGTTTTTCTAAGTGTCTATTAGGACCTAATTATATCAAAAGTTCACAATAAGTAGGCAAAGCAAGAAATTTTTTTACCAATCATATTTACTTACCGTCGATGCAGGAAGTCATTGAAACGCTTGATGGGCATATTAGTCATTGTAAAGAGTTTGTTGAACTCGATTCCGAATGTATCCCATAATTCCTCTTTGTATTTTTCCTCCAATGGCTGTTGCGGAGGAGGTAAAAACCCTCCTGCAACGACCATAGTATTCATTGTAGCAGAAATGTCGCCACAGATGTAGTTATTTTCGTAGGTGAAAGTGGGAGAGAATAATAATCTAACACTTACAATTTTATATCAAACTTAGTAATGCAATTAGAAAATTAATCAGAGTTGTATTTAAGTATATCAAAAGCATATTGATCCAGCCTGGATTGTAAAATTCTATCTAATTGTATCTACTATGGAGCCGGGGGAGAGGCTTTTGAGGTGGTAAACGATAAATGTACTTGGATTATAAGCTACAATTCAAGAAAGCCAACATACCCAGAGGATTATAGACGAGGTCGAGCTTCAATCCAGTGTCGGGTTTGCCGTAACCTACTTCGTTCAGTAAAATCATGGCCTGTATACTCTTGTCAAATACCCCGCTCCCTCTCTGTGTGTTTACGTTCTTTGCCGAATAACACGGAAGTGAAGCAACAATATCGATGTGATTTTCCGCGAGGAACTCAACAGTATCTTCTTGACCTATAACAAAACAAGAGTGAAATGTTTTACCTCCGAGCAAACGTTTTGAATATTCTACCACAATAGGTGGGCATGAATCAACTCCACAGATATTACTTTATTACTACAACTGTTGTATAACCAAACATTTATACCACATTGGGTATATAAACTGTACACTCGTTTTGATTGCCTGATACGGTGAAGTTTGACAAAAAGGGCTTTCACACACTCGTGGAAACTAAACACAATAACTTTACGTGAATCTCCATGGATCTATTGCTTTGATGATAATTTGTAAAAAAGAAATAAGATATTCTCATATCATTATGAAACTGTTCTTGAATATTAATTAGGCAATTTACTACAGATCATATCATTAAGCTCACAAAACACACCAGGGTACATACTATCTAGTGTACACCAACCAAACTCTAAATCTCTGTAAAAATATCATAATTATATCAGTAATACCGAGAATTTGTAACAAACCGTACAAACAACATAACATAATAGTTCTGTCTCTGATGTCTCTATCAATAACACTGTTTGATCATAAAATTACAAAAGCGAGAAAATGCCACAAAACCACTAGCTAAAATTATTGTCATCTGTAACTTTGAAAGATCACTGAATCAAGAGAAAGATATACCATATTCAACAACCATTTGCTGTAGAATCAGGAATTAAGGCCAGGTAAAATTTGACTGTAATGAATATATAATTTGATAAAATAGTAGATTTTTCAGTTAAAATAATGAAATCAATACCTGGCTCCATTAGTGACGTCAAATTACACCTGTCTATAACGGTCTTCCCGAGATCTCTTCCTCCTTTAGCAAGGTATCGAAACTCCTGACAGAGCTCTGGAGCGCCTCCTATCAGAAATGAAAGAAGTCAGTGTATAACCATGCTGCATTGCCAAAAAGGATGAATTTCACAATATGGCAACACTTACAGAAATATTATGGTTATTTTAAAATTTAAGGGATATTGAAATAACAAGAACACAGATTTATACATTTATTTAAATTCTATGAGATTGTTATCCTTTAATACAAATACATGGAATTTAAGATCTTATCTCACAGTGTCTTAAAATTATTTTATTTTCTACGTTTTAATAATAGTGTTTACTTTCAGGTACTCTCACAAAAATGTACATGGACTACACAAAATAGAGATAATTTGTCATATCACTAATATTTATTGAAATAATATTAAAATCTGCGATAACTCCGTGTTTGAAAGTGAAAATGAAAACAAATGCAACCGACACGAAACATTGTACACTTACACTGTACGTTAATGAAGGTCTTATCGAACGATGACAATGCGGTCATTATTTGACACATCTTTTATATAATTTGTCACTTTTTTAACTTCTCACAAGAATATTTAGAGCGAATCAATTAAAAATCGTCTATCACATCTCTAATTTATTTATTTGTTTCTTCCTTGTCTACAACGACTACATCATCTCCAAGAGCTTGGTATTCTGTTAACAACGACCATAAATCTACTAGCCAGTGATGTCCAGGGTGTGGACAGAGGGACTCTTGGCCAGTAAATCCAGGATTTTTTCGGCCACCTCTCTTCCCATCATCTCCTTCCGTTTGGGTGAGGACTCCACGTGGCAGTGGTTACAAGCCTGGTTACAATACAGACCGATGTTAGCCTGGACAATCTCTATGGCGTTCTTCTTCAGCACCGTCTCTTGGTCTAAATAACAACAAAAATACATTGACGGTCGGATCTCGTTTTCATAGTTGGTAGTTACACTACTGAACAGCATATAAGAGTCCCTAAGTTTGCCATGCCGAAGGACACAACCAAGACAGCCGGGACCAGCCAGTTTCTCGGTAGAATTCGTTGAAATGTCTACCAGAGTTTTACCTGATGTTGCAAACACGAACGCTGTACCTACTAAGCGACAACAGCTCGGTTCAGATCTTCCTTGTGCTATACTGGTAATGGATATGTGGTATAGAACTTTGAATTTCATTTTTTTTAATTTTTTTAATAATCTATGCGACAACGTTTAATGGGATTTTGCCATGTTACTTTCGTTATGAAGTCATCGATCACGTTGAAAGAACAATGGCTTTGCTGCTCGAAAAGACGGTAATCGTTATATGAAGCATCAAATATATGAGTATATTCTGAACTGTGCAACTATTCGATAGATAAATGTAGCATGCTGGTTCCTGCAAACATCATGGACTAAAAGCCTAAGTGAATTGACTGACCTGTAACATTTAGTGTGTTAGTACGACTCGTCACCATGATGATAGTCACACAGACAACTAATATAAAATCTTAATTTACTTCCAACATAACTTAACAGACTTTCTATACCATATGTAGAAATTGGCCTGCTTCCATTAAACAAATGATTTTATTACTTGCTTCATAAAGATATGGTTTGGGCAGGCGATCATATTGCACACATTTAATTAACTACCACGTGTAAAATGTAACGCTCCAAATCAAAATACAAATGTACAGATGCTATTCTCAAAAATCTGTTCGTCATATTTCCTTAAATAAATCGACATTTGTAAACTTCAGTATTTATCACATACAACAGAATGCTACCTTCAATCTTTTCCTTCTTTTTCTGTTCCAGCCAGAACTGATTGAAGTCTGGTGCTCCAAGCATGTTGAGCGCCCTCTGGCGTTGTTTCCTTTCCTCCCGGGTCAGCTGTTTCTGGCCAAGTCTTTTTAATTTATCAGCGGTCAACTTGAAGTCCTCATCCAGTTCCATCTGTTTCAGTGTTTCTGGTATCAGAGACCCCTAAAAATTATATTGATCATAACATCTTTTTTAATCTAGGAATTCAAAATATTGAGGCAATTTATCTATTTAAAACTAGACAAACAATGTTGTACACTCTAATGACATTCAAAACTTCTACTCTAAACCTAACCATGACAGAATCAGTATTCCTGGGTTAACGATGATAAAGAGAAAATAAAACGACAAAAAATAAGAACCTCGTTAAGTCTTATCCCTGCGACAAAGCCCAGTTTTCCGATATCAATAGGACTTTTACATTGGAACCTGCTAAGCAAGTCTCAGGACATCAGACGGCGGCGTGAAATAACGTCCACAAATCATAATACTGGTAACTACAGACTACCGTTTTCTTTTTAATACATTCGTGTAGGGACATCAGAAAATCAACATAGGTGTAAGTACACACTACCGTTTTCTTTTTAATACATTCGTGTAGGGACATCAGAAAATCAACATAGGTGTAAGTACACACTACCGTTTTCTTTTTAATACATTCGTGTATGGACATCAGAAAATCAAGATAGGTGTAAGTACACACTACCGTTTTCTTTTTAATACATTCGTGTAGGGACATCAGAAAATCAACATAGGTGTAAGTACACACTACCGTTTTCTTTTTAATACATTCGTGTAGGGACATCAGAAAATCAAGATAGGTGTAAGTACACACTACCGTTTTCTTTTTAATGCATTCGTGTATGGACATCAGAAAATCAACATAGGTGTCGTGTCAAATATGGACATCAGAAAATCAAGATAGGTGTAAGAAGTTAAGAACAGACTACCATTTTCTTTTTAATACATTCGTGTAGGGACATCAGAAAATCAAGATAGGTGTAAGAAGTTAAGAACAGACTACCGTTTTCTTTTTAATACATTCGTGTAGGGACATCAGAAAATCAACATAGGTGTAAGTACACACAACTATTTTCTTTTTAATACATTCGTGTAGGGACATCAGAAAATCAACATAGGTGTAAGTACACACTACCGTTTTCTTTTTAATACAGTCGTGTATGGACATCAGAAAATCAACATAGGTGTAAGAACACACAACTATTTTCTTTTTAATACATTCGTGTAGGGACATCAGAAAATCAACATAGGTGTAAGTACACACTACCATTTTCTTTTTAATACATTCGTGTAGGGACATCAGAAAATCAACATAGGTTTAAGAACACACAACTATTTTCTTTTTAATACATTCGTGTATGGACATCAGAAAATCAACATAGGTGTAAGAACACACAACTATTTTCTTTTTAATACATTCGTGTAGGGACATCAGAAAATCAACATAGGTGTAAGTACACACTACCGTTTTCTTTTTAATACATTCGTGTAGGGACATCAGAAAATCAACATAGGTGTAAGTACACACTACCGTTTTCTTTTTAATACATTCGTGTAGGGACATCAGAAAATCAACATAGGTGTAAGTACACACTACCGTTTTCTTTTTAATACAGTCGTGTATGGACATCAGAAAATCAACATAGGTGTAAGTACACACTACCGTTTTCTTTTTAATACATTCGTGTATGGACATCAGAAAATCAACATAGGTGTAAGAACACACAACTATTTTCTTTTTAATACATTCGTGTATGGACATCAGAAAATCAACATAGGTGTAAGTACACACTACCGTTTTCTTTTTAATACATTCGTGTAGGGACATCAGAAAATCAACATAGGTGTAAGTACACACTCCGTTTTCTTTTTAATACATTCGTGTATGGATATCAGAAAAACAACATAGGTGTAAGAACACACAACTATTTTCTTTTTAATACATTCGTGTAGGGACATCAGAAAATCAACATAGGTGTAAGAACAGACTACTATTTTCTTTTTAATACATTCGTGTATTTGAAAGCCTGTCGCTATACTCCCCCAAGTAATGTATTTCGTTACGTTGTGTCCGGAAGAGAATGGTAGATTGTGAAGTAGTGTGTACAATTCCATTTATTTCGCAAAAAAGTGAGTTTTAAACCTCCATTTATTTCGAAAAAATGAACATCTATTTCTGTAATGAGCGTAGATATTTATGAATGGAAAACGGTACCTTCAACAGGGCCTCCCTTTCCATGTGTTACCACGTAACCCAACTCTTTGAACAATTTTATGAAGATCTCATTGAGATTAGAGTTACCTCCCTTATATCAACGACCCACAAAAACTATTTAAAAGATATCTCGCCTTGTTTTGCAGAATATATATTGATATGGTTTGAAATGTTTTGACTAAGCAAATTTTCTGGTACTAGAAGAGCAATTTTGTGAACAACCAAAGTTTATCAAAGACATCAAGGATACGACAACACATTAATGATGATATCAAAATCAAACGATCAATACTATTTAAATCAACTTTAGATTTTTATCAATGAGGCATAACTCCTACAGCTTGCCTTGTTTCTATCCGAGTCCTCAGTTTCGGTAAATACAGTACATGTCCGGAGTGTAACTGTTGACATTTATTACAAGCGGCTGTGATGAGTAACGACTATATTATATACTGGTATAATTATCTGACAAACAATAAACCCTGTTCTGAACCCCACTGCTTCCAAAATCACTGATAAAACAAGGTCGCTTATGTTACGCAATCGTTAAATTCGCGAGCTTTGTTTAAATATTGATCGATGGAGTAAGATGTTGTATAGAGTCGTTTCCATGTCCTCTCGATCTTATTTCCAGCTATTATATGGAATTTTGCTACGATGGGTTCAATCCATTGAAGTTGTTTAACTCGTTATACCGTATAATTTTCATATGAAAAAATAGAAAGCAGTGCTTTATTATTTTCATTTATATGTTTATCTAAACACAGACACGCACGAACATTATCGTCGTACTGACAGACCCAGGTAACCAGCTGATAACGGTGCATATACATTGAAATTTCCCAATAGCATGTTCTGAAAATTGACACCAGTTTTGCAGATACAGATATCAGTCAGCTTATATCTATTTAGCTATTGGTCAGTTGATCGATGCCTTGAACCAATCAAGAGGCTAACTATATATGTCAACTCAAATATGCATGCGAAGTATCACTGGACAACTGCGGTGCAATTAATTCTTTAATACTAGAAAAAAAAAGGCCAGCTAGAAGCTATAAGAATAGTCACAGGGCTGCCAACATACACAGAAACAGAATTTCTGTATCTCGAAACCAGTTGGCTACAACTTACTAAAAGACGAGAAGCTCGGACACTTTCTTTCTTTTATAGTTTAGTAAAAAAATTCTTTGCTTTATTGCCAGCGGATATTGAAAATCTAGCCCCATACAATTTACGAAACGCACACTCACTGAGACAACAACATTTCTATCTTCAACTGTCGCAAAACTACTTCCTTCCTTCAACAACAAAACTTTGGAATGATTCACATAACATTAGAGACTCTCCTTCTATACATCATTGTAAGGCTAATGTAAAAAAATTATTCACTGTAATATAAGCTAACAATTAGTAAACTATGGAGTTAGAAAACTAAATATTCTTCATTGTCATCCGAGAAATCGAGCGAGCACTCTTAATTATTAGTTAATGATCTTTTCCGTGCAAATCTTATAAAGTCTAACGAGTGTCAATAATGTCTTAATATTTCTTTTTTACTTGTTCTTTATATAATAACTTCATTCATGAACTTACCGGAGAACTAGAATGGTACAAAGGGGATATAAATGTTGACATACTCCTGTAAATGTTATCCCAACATCTCACTACATGACAATACAGGGATTGTGAAAGCTACACTATATTTCATGGAAAGGTCGGGTAGTCTCTCTCTCTCTCTCTACCTACCTCTCCCTAAATTTATAATCTATGCTTAATTAAGTTATATGTACAAATGATACTAAACATGATAAATCGATTGTTTTATCTCGTCGTATTTTACATTCTAATGTTTAATAATGTGACAATTGTTATTTCATAATTGTAGGTCTGTATGTAGGGAGAGGTCACTTATAAGTTGGTAAAATATAATCATCAATCCTTCTGACATTGTGACAATAAAGATGTTTGATTGAATAAACTTGACTTGAACAGAGTATACAATCGTCCTACATATGAACTATCACTTGATCTTGACAAGGATATATTGATCAATGATATTTCAAACATATTAAATAGAAGCGGGCAAATGTAGATAAATTTGGTAATAATTCGTCCCAGTAACATAAAACTAAATTTTAATGTTTCATTTAACTTGAATGTTGTATTTTTAACGATTTTGTAATAAGTAAAACAAAAACACAAATCAGATTCTTTTTCTACTTCGTGGCCTTCGCATTGATTCAAGGGAGGTCACTCTAATGTAAACCAAAACTGGAACTCTTCTTTGTTGTGATTATTGTGTAGGACAGCCCTAAGGCATTACGAAACAGACGATTAAGAAATAATACACAAGAAAAGAATAAGGAAAATTTTAATCGTTAGGTGATAAAGTACATGTTTGTAGAGTGGAATCACGGACTAAGAATGAATATCTAAGTCTGTGGTTAATCCCAGTGATGTTATCCATTATAGACACTTCAACATAACGAGTGGCTTCGAGTTATTCAAATATAAAATGGGTATTTAATTAACCTACGTACCTTTGTTCGCTGTTGTAAATCCTGCAACCCTTTCCATCGCGCCCCGGCGGGCGGGCCAGGCTTGGGAGGTGGGGCAGTAGGTCTGCTCAACTTGTGTTCATGGATATCAACACTTGTGTTGTAGTCTGGCAGTTCAGCATTCTGGGTCCGTACATTAGTATCGGGATCACTTGCATTACTGGATTTCCATCGTTTAAGTGTCGCACTTGGTAAATATCTGTTAGGCTGAATGAAGCCACGATACCGAGCGAGAGCCATAATACACTCCCGTTAAAACTGTTACAGTTTTTGCTCTTGTTTACTGTGCACTGCGTAGATTGGCGCGATACAGCCCCCGATTGCACGGTCCCTTCTATATGTGCAGATAAGAGAAGACGACAAAACGCACGTTAACCGATTAATTTATATCCATCGCAGTCACCTTAAGAACGTGACCAATATTTACAATACAGACGAAGACTGACCTTGACCTGACGAAACCATGTACACGTATATTGTGTGAACTGTGTTTCACTGTCACCCGTGTTGTCTACAGCGAGCTTACACACATGTGTACATATGAACTGATCGAGGGAGGGCACGTCCCAGGAATAATAGTGTTTATGTTAAGAACGTAGTCAACAACGATTACTCAAACATCCATAGTTACGTCTGTTACTTTCTAATGGTACATAAAGGTACTAATGATTTTGTTTAAATTATGATAAAAATCATCGTTAAGAGTCCATGATACACACATAAAGTCAAACGAATGTCTACATATATACTTCAAGATTTATTATGTATGATATTGCTTGGTACAATTAATAAATCGTTTATTTATTTATTTATTTCAAGTTATTTCGTACATTACTTAAAGACCAGACGGCATACACACTCGCTTTCACACACAAAATAACATACATATATAAGGATGTGTAACATGCATCATCATCATCATCATCATCATCATCATCATCATCATCATCATCATCATCATCATCATCATCATCATCATCACATATCATTACCTCATTTCCATTTCAAAATTATACACCATTATCCATAATGCCATAGTTGTCACTCATATTACACACACATCCGCACACTCACACACCTTCACACACCTTCACACATATTACACACACACATCATAGATACATATACTCACATTGTAGAAAAAGGAGGAGAAAAGTATGGCTAAGGCAGGAAGGAGAAGAGAAAGAAGAAACAAGATCAGAGAGACACGGTTTCATGGTATATAAATATAAAAGTGTACAAAACAGTGAACTAATCGGGCGAAACCAGGGTTAAAATGATCATGAAAAAGTATTCAAACTTGCCAACTAGAACCAAAATCATAAATTAGAAGTATCTATATAAGGATAATTGATAATGCTAATATCGATAATAATAAAAACATTAAAAAATATGTGATTTTTTTATTTGAATTATTATAATTCTAAAATAGATTTTCATTTTTCTCCTACCTTTTTTCAAAATATCCTTAATCAGCTCACTTTTACTGTTATTTACAAATTTTTGAACCAGGAACTGATCTTTTATAATATTGATGAGTGCATTGAGGGTTAGGAATTCGCTAAAGCATCTAGTTGTTTTTAGATATAATGTTTGATAAGAATTAAAATGTGTTACTCTTCCAAAAAGAAATGAATATTTGATATAAGCAAAGGGAATTAGCAATAAGTAAAATTTACACTTCTTGACATTCCCATAAACAATTCCATTTCCATAATTATAAAGCTTGTATAGATCCCCCCATTGTATTCAGTATTAACCTCCATTTCCCATGTGATTGTACTATCCTTATCCAGCCTATAAAAGTGTGAACATCTATCATCTTTAAACCTCCATCTATATAATCTTAAATCATAACGTCTTTCTTAATTTTATGACATTTACCATTTCATAAAAAAACAAACGATAGTGTTTTCACCTGATTAATATATTTTTCTGGAGGATTTGGTAAGGAGATAAACAGAAAATAAAGTTGTGAAATCAACAATGATTTAATAATATTTATTTTGCCTATTAGGGAGTCCGATTCCGTCTATCCCAAATATTAATAAGGGCTTTATGTTTTGCAGTTTTTCTTATTTTAGAAATTTCACTTTAATCCACACTGAAATCTATCCCCCAAAAACTGAACTTTTTTCTCCCTCATTGTAAATTCAGTTTTGGCAGGTAAGTCTGGTCGTTTATTTTAACATTCAATTTATTAAGTTTTGTATTGTAGACTGTTCGTGATGCTGTAATTTACATAGTTTGTACAATTGTGAAAAGTACATTGTAATACAAGTTCCGTCTCGTACCAGCTGCTGATTCTGCCATTAAATGAGTAAATAAAATTCGTCTTATTTAAATCACACATCACACAGACCATACCTTCTGTTGGTACATTTGTCTACTTCTAGGTTTCAATTGGAAGGCTGAGCTAACATGCTTTAAACTTTGTTAGAAAAGATCTGTTCTTAATTGGTAACCGATAGGATTGTTTTCAAATTTAAATTGATATTTAAGAATTCCATAGTTTATACATTTAAAATGTTTGTGATACTTATTTTCTATAATTATTAAATGCATAAATTGTTTATGAAATAGAATAGATACATTTATTTATAAGATAATCAATATTTATCAGAAACAATCCTCACAAATTGAAGTTACTATCTTAGATACATGTACAATTTGTCTTGAGCCAAAAACAGACACTCTTGATTTAAACATCGACAAACAACGATTGTTTTCCAAAGTCTCTTTACTCTATACAATTAGATTTAAAACATATATGAATAATAATTGCTCTGTAGCGATGGCATCTGGAACCGATGAAGACTGCTTCGACATACCGATGGATACTCGAGTTAACCCACTGTCTGACCACTAGAAAATGATTTGCCTTGCGATGGATCTGTCTCGAGGGGCGGGGGAGTGGGAGAGAGATTCTATTATTTCATATAGTGTATATTTTTAGTATAAAATTGGGAATAAAAGCACCACCAGATCAAAACAATGACACAAATAGTTACTGCTTTTAATCCAACAGCACTCTTTCCGACTTACGATGTAAACAAACGAGCTGTCACGTATATATTCCCGGAGTCCATCCGTCCACTGAATTTTGAATGCTTGAAAGTGGCTCGAACCACATTGTAGACATTGTAGTCACGTCATGTCAGGCAGGCTGTTTTGCTATTTGTTATAGAATCCTTCACTAGATTATCAATTATATATTTTATGTGTTATTTTTGTTTTTGAAATGTACATGTATCTAAGAAATCAATTATAAGTTTAGGAATATTAAAATCCGATTTGTAAATTCAGTGATAGTATCATGATTACGCTAACTTAAATCGAGCAAATATTTTATAACCAGATTACGTCATCTAGAAAAAAAACAGCACCAATATGTTTATACTACTCAACGACTTCTGAACCGTTACCAAAGTTTAGTTATCTCAATGCTAGCTCAGTCTATCTTGTACAGTAGTTATTGAAGATATCAAGTCATTAGGATATTCAGCTAATGAAATAGTAACGTTAGTAAACACAGGACAATATAATTATGTTAAAGTTTGGTCTCATGGTCGATACTTCCACAGCAACTTTCTCTTCTATATCACCTTCCGGAATCATTAAGCAATGTCTAAAACAAGAATACTCTTGTCCGACAGAGTTTCATGATAAACTTGTACATTCAGCCGAGTTTAATCTCTCGTCCACTCTCACATCCTTCGTTTCAGTCAGTAGTATCCTCCTCATCCCATCATCGTTATAAGGCCCAGAATGAGTACATACGCCAGCAGTGAAGACTCAATCAGAGGTAATTTCATGAGTATCCAATGAAGGATGACATTTACAACGTCACACCAGAATAAAGCTACGGAAAGGCCACGTGGGACTATGGAAGCCTTTGATTACACGGCGGTACATCGCGCACCTGTGTTGGAAATAAAATAGTGCTCAGTCGAAAAATCACTATCACACATACCAACAGCTCACTGAGTTTCTCCCGTGTCTACCATGTATAAAGTATTATATAACTTTGTTTGAATATTTCACCTTATCGGTATTTAAACTTAAACATTAAAGTTATTCTTAAAACGTTTGTATTTTAATTTTTCTCTAAACTCTGCTTTGCACATCTGATATGAAAAAAATGACGATATTAAGAGGCCATTACAGGCCAGCTACATTTGACGGATCGCACAACGTTACACGATGTGCGCACGATAGGAAAATTGGACGAAATAAGCTATCGCACATTTGTGCACACATTTTGCGGATCTTTTGCACAAATGTGTGATTCTATCGTGGTTGATATAAATTAAGAAGTGGCTTATGAATAAGTGTGGGTTAGGATTTATGCATTTTCTAAATGTATAAAAATATAGGCTGGATGATTTCTGATGTTTGGGAGTTGTCTCCCTTTAACCTTTCAGTTTACCGTTTATGTTTTTTGTAAGTTATCGAATTTGCACTGGTCTTTTATTTTTATGCGACGTTAAAACCTGGCTCGAATCTATTGCAGTATAGAAAAAACATGATCTATTGTCTCTTCTGCAGTTTTGTGATGATAATGTCTTCTAACTTATTTAGTCCTAAAGCTTTTGATTTAGTAGTAGGCTTATCTATAATTTGCCTTAGGTAGTTGATCTTTCCAAATGTTTCCATGTTTCTGACCGTTTATTACCGATTTGTTGATTGATAACAGAATATACTTCTGTCTTAAATAATTTCACCTTACACTTTCTTGTCTTTTTCTATAGAGCTTTTTGGCTAGATCATCAGCTTTTTCATTTCCATGTATTTGGACATCTGATGGTACATACTCAAAATTTACCAAAATTCCCTGTTATTTTAAGTTTTTAGACTAGATTTAGTACAAATAATTACGTTAGGTCTTGCACTATTTCTAGTTTGTATTGGTTGTGATGAAGACTATCTGTAAGAATTATTGCTCTGTTTGTGGACTTTTTGATGTTGATAGGTCAAAGTTCTAAATCTTTAGCAATGATTTAACTTGTATAAACGGGGCATTGATCGGCCAGTCTGAGTGATAATGCGATGTTGTTATCTCCAGGATAAATACCTAACCTAACCCTCTTCGTTGGTGGATTTTTAATCCATTAGTATGATATTTACAATGATTGTATTACTTCTCGTCAATGATTGATAATGCTATTGCCTTAATTTCTACTGGACTTTCCTTTTTTGTTGCTTTTGTTCAAAATTTCTATACTAAAAGCGGGATTGTCTAATTTCCAGGGCGGAGTTGGATCTGGAAAAAAAATCAATTCTAATTTGGTGTTAATTGTGTTCGACGAGAATTTGTTTTATTACAAAGTTTTATGGCGGTTTGGCATGTTGGTTTAGTTTGTCTCTGTATTTAGCGTCTTTCAGGCTTAATCTTTTGATTGATGCATACTCACATTTAAATAGACAATGAAATTCATCACCATTATTATTACTACAACATAGATTACAAGTTCTGCTTTCCTTAGGTATTCAGAT